AAAAAAAAAAAAAAAAAATTTCACAGGACACAGGAAAATAAGATGGGAGGGAGTGAGCACCCATGAAACAGCAGTGAGCAGTACCAGACTCAGAGACTTCAGACACTGGAATTATCAGAAAGAACAGAAAATCAGTACATTGGACATGTTCCACAAAATAAGAGGAGGAACTAGAAATATGGGTAAAAATGGAAGTTATTAGAAGCATGACCGAACAGGTTTGTAAAAATGAGAAATTCAGTAACTGAAATTACTATCCTCACTAGTCAAATAGGGGAATACATACAGTGGAGGAGAGAATTAGAAACTCATTAGAGCTGAGGAAGCGATCGTCATGAACACACCAAAGTAAAACAAAAAAGAGGAAGAAAAAAATCCTAAACAGAGATAACCACAGAGCTGTAGTATCAGAAAAAAAGGTGACTGACTGAAAAAAGACAAAACCTCTGCTTTAGAAAATGCAAAAAATCCTGAGCAGGAGTTGAAAAAAAGTTAAAAATTAAAAAGCCAAAAAAATCTGCACCAATATACACAGATAAAGATCTTAAAAGCAACTAGAGAGAGACAACAACCAAGGCCATTCCACTAGGTATGAACTTCTCAGCAAAGCCAACCAAAAATGAGACTCAGCCACGTAACAGCCTAGAAAAATACATATACTATGATTCCACTCAGTCATATAAATTTAGAAAACATGCAAGACAATAGCTATGCTGTTTAGGGACATATATTTATGTGATAAACTAATTCCTAAAATGTAAGGTCATAGCAAACCAAGCTCTCTCTGGAAAGGAGAAGAAGCCAGAGATTGGGAAAGGCATACAAGAACACAAAAAGAATTGGTAAAATGTTCTACATTTAAACCAGGCACTCAAAGCCAGGCACACTGGTACACACCTATAATCCTAGATACTCTGAGAGCTGAGGCAGGAAGATCCACATTTGAGTCTGACCTGGGCAACTTAGCAAGACCCCATCTCAAAAGAAAAAAATAAATATAAACAAACAGGTGGGATGTAGCTTGGCACCACCCAAGGCTGAACCCCCAGTTCTGCAAAATTAAACCAGGCATTCGTTTTATTGCTTTTCTACTCATTATACAATATACCTATGATTTTAATATTTTTATGTATTTAAATTAAATTAAAATTTTGAAAATAACAAGAAAACTTAAGGTTACAAATTGTGCTAAGAGATGTGGCGGAAAATAGCAAAACATCAACAGTCAAGAAAGACCAAATTAAAATGCCAGGGAGGTGGTAGGCAGAGGCCTCCAGGGTCCTGCAGATGCCCTGCCAAGGGTGCTAGCCACGTCCCACCAATGATGAGCAGCAGTCATACTGGAAGCCCACTTCAGAGGTGGCAGAAGCAGCACTTGTTCACAGACTGGCTGTGTGAGCCAAAGGGGAAGAATGGGTCTGAGAAGATACCAAGGGTCTGAATGGGTGCATCTGTCAAATGAAAACCAAGACAGAGGGACAGATGTGCAAGAAACAAAGGTGAAGATGCCCTGAGTGGCTCCCAAGACCATGAGACTTCCCAGGGGCACACACAGCCTGAGATCCCAGGCAGATGCATAAAGACACAAACTGTACATCTGGAACACAGCCCACCTGTGAGACAGGACCCCAAGTACCAGGCAGCATCAGGGAACAGTGCACTCCACACAAAGAACACACCACTTCTGAACAGTGGTAACAAGAAACACCACTACCTTCTCAACAAGTGCTTTTAAGAGCATTTCTCGCTCTAGAAGTAGTACAATGACAGCTGCCCGCACTTGCTACTGTTTGGGTCAAACCAAACAGAAGCTGACACTGTGTGCAATAAGCAGCTGTCCTCATTATGGCTGGCTACTGCTGGAACTCATGCAATTCTAAAGTACTAGAATCAGAAGGGTCCACTCCTCAAAAATAAGCTGCACTGTGCTCTAGGAGATACTGGGAGACTTCTACGAACATGGCACAATGCTGATACCTTCAGCTGCTCACAATCTGACCAATGGGGGTGCCCTACTATTCAACACTTGAAGCTCGAATATTTTCTCACAAATCAAAAACCCAAGGAGACCAAAGCAGAAAGGAGAAGAGACCCGTCAGAACACTGAGATGCAGGGCAACACATCCTCCAGACAGAGCACCCAGCAATAGGGAGCCCCAAATAGGGCCTGTACCTGCTGCTTCATGGTTTTCGTGTCCCACAGCAGCAACTTGCCAGGAACCTGGTTTGTGCCCTTGTTGCCAATGTCTGGTACAGAGGAGTCAACCTGCGAGGTGAGGCTTGGAGCTGCAGCCGAGCAGATGAAAGAAGCCCCATTGGGGCTGCACGCAAGAGACAGGATTCTGCAACACACGTGGGCTATGGTCAGACAGTCACCCACCCTCATTGGGAGGGCAGGCCTGGCTCCACAGAGCACCTGCAGTGAAGTGGCCTTGACCCTAACTGGAAGGGCCTCAGCTCACCTGGGCATATCGTCATGGATGCTGATCTCACAGAGATTCTTCTTGGCTTCCGTGTCATAGAGACGTACTGTGCCCACACCACTGCCTAGTAAGAGCTGGAACAAGAAGCCACAGTCTACAGTCAGGGATTATTCGGAGCAGGCCAGGCCCATCCCTATGAGATACCAGGCTGGGTGGGCTACAAGGCTAGCCCCTCCTGCACCAAACCAGGCAGATAAGGGTAATCTGCACACGATGGACTACACTTAAAAGTTAGAGAAAGGCCAGGCCTGGTGGCAAACCCCTGTAATCCTAGCACTCAGGGGGCTGAGGCAGGAGGATTACTCTGAGTTCGAGGCCAGCCTGGACCACACAGTAAGTTCAAGGCCAGCCTGAAAAACATAGCAAGACCCTGTCTCAAAACATCAACAACAACAAAATTACAGGAAGACATGAAGCCGACCAGGGACAGAAGTTGTGTTTGGGTGAGGCTGAGTGGTGTCCCAGGACTCATGCAATGGAGACTTACTCTGCAGTATAAGTCACATGAGAGTGGGTGGGACACAAGAGATGGCAGGTGACTGGGTCACTGGGTTCTATCTTCAAAGGGGATTAATTCAAGTCTCACAGAGCCAGTACCCACTCTCTAACTTGCTTTCAAGCCTGGTGCCTAAATCCATCTCCGGCTTTCTGTCTTGCCCCATGATTTCTCCCTCTGGTACACAATCCTTCCATGATGCCATCACCACGTTTTAACACTGCCAAGGGGGCCCTCACCAGAGCCACACAGAAGCTGCTACTATACTCTTTCAGAACTATGGGCTAAATAAAACTCTTTTCTTTATAAAGTTCCCCACCTCGGGTATTTTGTTACAGTAACAGAAAATAGACTGATACAGAATCTGAGGAATGGGAGCAACGTGCTACCTCAAAAACAATTGGAAATATGCTGGCTGCTCACATGAGACCCTTCACTCTTCCCTCTTCTGGCCATAAATCCCAACTGTTCTAAACTGGATTCTTGCTCACTCCTGGTACTGGCCCTGGCTAATCACTAGGCCTGGGTCACTATATTCACCTTCTCAGGGAACACGTCTGGCTCTGGCTCTGTGAAGACCTCCAGAAAAACGTTAAGAGGTTATCCTTGCTTTCAGGAACTTGTGATTTATATGGTGAAATGCTTCAAAGATGATAATAAATATCACCAAAAGCAGCCAAGGTCTAGGATATCTTTTCCTCAGAAATATTAGCTAAAGGCTGACCTCAGCATCCCCTTGGCAAATGGACCCTGATCCAGGGAAGGCCCTGAGATGCTAGTGCCATAAGAATAAATCCTGCAGCTGCCAAGAATTATAGTAAGTCAATGTCTGTCTCCTGGGCTACAGTGGTAGGATCTCTGAAAAATAGAAGAAAAGCAACAAATCAAGTTTACCTCCTTAACTACACAAATCCTACCTGAAATATTAAAGTCTAGAGAAAAAAACACTGCTATCCCTGGGAGCCATTAGACTCACTGAAATCACAAATTGATTCTCACCAACATAAGCTGCTACCACTGGGGCAAAGACAGGAGGAGTCTCAATGGCAAGAGGGAGCACACCAAGAAAGTTAGCAACAGGGATACACAGGAGAGGACAAGAAGCCAGGCACAATGTCCCCTTATTTCAATTCTTATTAATCCAGTTACTTCACTGCTACTGCAAACAGGAGCCTGCTAGGCCAGAAAACAAGGGTCCCAAATCCCAGTGATAGAGAAGAGGGCTGGGATTTGGCCTCAGGTGAGCCTGTGAAAAGTCTTGGAGACCCCAGATCAAGCACCTGCATAAGCAAAGCATCACTCACCAGCCTGTCCCGCTTGGTGGCCCATTCCAGGGAGAGAAGCGGTGACTTGGAAATGGAGGATGCTTTGGTCTGCATGATGGGGTTGAAGGACCACACTTTGATGACCCCATCTACATCTAGGCTGGCGACTCTCCTCCCTGAGCAATCCACTCTGCAAAAGAGAGAAAAGGTGTGGGCACCCCAACCTCACTCTTCTCCAGCTAATGCCAAGACAACCACTTGTCCAACTTCCCAACTGTACTCAGCAATACCCCAAAAGGCTACATTCAGAGGATGAGTGCAGACTATCACTAGAAGTTTTCATTCATTCAAGAAAAACTCATTAAGCACCACGCCTTTGACCATAAAGCAATTTAAAACAGAAGAGTTTTGGAGGTTAAAACAAAAGGCAGCTTGTTCCTAAAACTCAGAGAAACACTAGACAGAGCAGAGGCTGACCACTGCACAGCAGCCCCCATCAGACACCCAGATAGTAGCTGTCCAGCCCTCCTTTGACCCTGAGGGGATCATGGTCTTTCAGGGACCACTCACCTCCCACCACAAGCCCTGTCCTCCTGTTCACACCTTCACACACGGTTCCCTAGCTGCCAACTCTGGCCCACCTGCAGTGCATGATGGACGAGTGGTGCTCCCCATACTCCTCCTGACTCAGCACGATGAAGGGCTGCTCTGTGCGGCCTCCTGCTCCCTCAGGCCCGGCTGTGGACACCCTTGTCAGAGGTTCCATTAGCTCCATGTGAAGATCTGGGGAGGGCTCAGCTTCTGGGACACTGGCTTCAGGCTTCTTCTCTGTACACTGTGACCAGCAAAGCAGAGACACATCAGCTGGAAGGAGGTCCCCACACACAGGAGGACAGCGGGAATGGTTGGAGGTCACATAGTCCAGCGCACACCTTGGGCTGTGAGGCCCACACTCAGCTCACCGTGGTGGGGCCAGGGGACAGGGCACCAATTCCTGGGGCAGCTGCTTCCTACCGACTCTGGCTCCCTGTCAGGACACACAGCTGCTGTGCCACAGGCCAGGCCAAAGGTAACGGACACATTTAGTAAAAGCCTCCCATGCACCAGTTCTAGGCTGAGTGGCTTACAGATCTCTTCACTTCACCTTCCCAAATCCACAGGAGATGCTATTACTTGCCCTATTTACAGCTGCGGAAACTGGAAAACAGATGCTGCCATAGGGTGGCAGAGGGCAAAGCTTAAGATGGAGCCAGGTTTACAGCATTCCCTTAGCTCTCACAGTGCACCCCACACTGACCAGCACCTCTTCCAGGGAAGGGGGTACTGTGCCTGAGAAGCCAAGGCAAATGACCCAAGGTACCAACTCCGTGGCTACCATGTGTTCACAGACAAACCCCAGGCTCGGGGGAACTGGTCATCTAGTCCTGGTGTTCCTCAAGTGGCTCTCAGGGTGGCAGGACGATTAGTTCAAAAACAGAATGAGTGGAGGGCCAGGGGTTTAGCTCAGTGGTTCCACCGCCTGCCTTGTAAGCACAAGGTCTCAAGTTCAATCCCCAGTACCAAAAAAAAAAGAATGTTTTGGGATCTACTATTACCAAACTGGAACTACTCACTGTCAAAAATGCCATTAAAATAGTCAAGAGGCCCACAAAGGAGATAATGGCCAAGAAAGTGAACCAGTACATCCACTGTCTACCATCTGGGAATAGGCAGAACCAGAAGCAGCTTATCCTGCCAGTAGATGCAGACCTGACCTACTTTCCCAGGAGATCCCCAGCTCAGGTGCAGATATAGGGGTCTGGGAGCAACTCTCAGCACACAGAGGGGACCCAGTCTCAAGCCTCATGGTGTGCAGCATGCATGGCTAATCCAGGGAGGGACCAGACCAGGGCCCAGCCAGCCCACTGCAGACTCCCTCAGAGCCTTTCTGCAGTCGAGCATTCCTAGGCCCTGTCTAAAGAAATGCCACCAGGGAAAAGCCAGGCAAATACTATCCCAAACCACCAAAGTGCAAGAGTAAAGATCAATCAGGCAAGACTACACCTGCATAGCAGCGGAACTCAGGGGAACTAGGGGACACCTCATACCTGGGAAGAGGTGGTGGAGAAGAGCTCCTTCCGCTCCTTGCCATGGTCTTGCAGGCGCCGCTGCCGCTGCTGAGCCCAACTTGACTCTCCAGGGCCCGGCCCGCCCAGAAGGCTCTTCCCATCCTTGGCCCCAGCTGTCAGGTCCTTTCCCTTGGTGCCCTAGGGACAAGAAGCATTTTGTGAAAAGTCAGCTCCTGGCTGCCCAGGCAGTGACAATGGCCAGGAGGGGAGCAAGTGCAGGGAGTAGCAGCAGCTTCTGGCTGGCGTTGGCAGGGAGCTCAAGTACAGTCAGTCTGGGCTCCTCTCTGTCCATCCTTACTGGCAGCCTACTCTCTGTCCTACCTGGTCACAAGCAGATAGCCTTCTACACCTAACAGGAGCAATCTGTAAGGGTAAGGAACCCAGCACTTCCTAGGCAATATCCAAGGCAGGTCAGGTCCCTGCTCTGTGTTATAAACATTCACACACAAATGTATGAGTGCACAATATTAAAAAAAAAAAAACACATGCAACAAGAATCCCTATGTGAAAGGAAAGGGAATGCAATGTAGTCTCTCATTCTGGACCAACTATAGGACTACAGCTAATGTTAAACAAATGCTAAAGTATTGAAAATGACTACTAGACAGTCAGAAATTTTTAACAGGCATTGTTGGAAACCCAAGAATCTTTAAGCAAGATAAATGGGACAGGAAAGAAACTGATATTTTCTAGCTCATTTTTATACCAAGAGTAATAAGGTTCACCAAGCCCACAGCAACAGAGAATGAATCCAGTAATATCCACCCCACCTCAAGAATTCCCTTCCCTTCCCAGAAGCAAGAGATCAAGACAACTGAAGACAGGAGTGCTGGGGCAACTAGGGTACCCCTCACATGGTCCTGGGACAGGACTCATAGTGCCAACCCCATACACAAACCCAGTGATTCCTGCCCACATTCACCGATCCAGGGGGCAATGAACAGAACCTGAAGAATTCTAAAATGTGTTTCCAGAAACTCTGATATACTGACAGAATCTAAAAGGTGGTATGGGAACTCCACAACTAGCGATATACAGAGTGCTAAGAAGGAAGACTGATTTCCTGGGTTGATGGCAATTGTCAAAGTAAGTGAGAATGTCACAAAATCCCAAATAAGTATTATGCAGGTTTCACAGGCTTACCAACCTGCCCAAGTGATCTATAAGATGGATTTTTTTTTAGAAAAAGGAAAACAATCCAGATAACACTGTAAATAGATTCTGTGAAGGGTATGTAAGAGAGCATAGCAGAGGAGATTCAGGAACTAAGAAATCCTCAGGGTACAAAACAGGATAACTTGCTAAAACTTAGGCGCAGAAGCCCATATGTTCAGTGTACTGAGAACAGGCAGAGATCCTCAAATTTTAATGTGTCTCAGAATCACTGTAAGTATGGTAACTTCTTTGTAGACCTAGATGCAACTTTAGCAGAAAGGAATCATTTCTAAAGAAAATACAGTCTACCAGTAATGACAGAAAAATAGACCACTTTCTAGAAAGAGAAAACAAGGAGACAAAGTTGTATACGTATCCAAAAACTATCCCATCACAAAACATCAGGCCCAAATGGTTTTGCACGTGAATTCTATCAAACCCACAGAAACTACATGGTCCCAATACTTCAAAAATCATTACAGAATATAAAAATGAAGGAAAGCACCCACACTATTTTTTATGAGGCATTTATCTAAGTTTGATAAAGAGTACACAAGAAAGGAAAGTACAGATCAATAACAATATTAATATCAATTCAAATTTCTTAAACAAAATACTATTAAGCAGTTTCCTTAGTGTGGATGTGTACATTACCTCTCATATTCCTCACCCTAAAACTAGTGGGAAACATGTGAAGGAATCCTATTAAGGAACAAGGCAAAATACATTGTCTTCACTTCTATTAACACTATTGGTGATATGAATATGGTTATATAAAAGGAGCAATTAAGAGACTGAAGAATTGAAAAAGAAGTGAAATTATCATTTCTTTGAAGTTGATATGACAGTATAACTGAAAACTGTTTGAAAATCAGTGCTAAAACTAACCCAAAAGAACATGGCAGAAGAATGTAAAAACAAAACGCAAAATTAGTAATTTTCATAAACACAAATAATGACTAGGTAGAGAAAATACTGGTAGTATAACAGAGTCCCAGGTAATACGGCCGTAATAAATATAAAATATCTAGAAATAAGCCTGACTAAAATATGTGAAAACTATATAAAGAAAATTATTCAGATGTAAAAATAGTTATAATTTGGGGGGGTAACTGGAGATCGAACTCGGATCCTTGCACTTGCAAGGCAGGTGGCAGAACCGCTGAGCTAAATCCCCGGCCCAGTTCCAATATTTTTTTTTAATTCCTTATTTTCAGCCAGGGTCTCACTAAATTGTCCAGCCAGACCTCAAACTCATTATCTCTTTCAGCCTCCTGGGTGGCTGGGATTGGAGATGTGCATCACCATGCCTGTTGCCTAATATCTTTGACACATGATAAACTTAAAATTGCAGGGGAGGGCAACAACATTTATATAGAGAAATAGGAAAAGATACTAACAGAATTTATAATACTCAAGAATAGACTTTAAACAGTGAAAAGCTCTTCTACTTCATTCATAGTAAGAGAAATATATATATATATATATATATATATATATATATAAATGCACTCAGATACCATTTTTTTACATATCCTGTTGGTAAAAGTTCTAGAATTTGATAGATTCTGCCGCTGAGGCTGTGGGGAACAAGGAATTCTCATAAATTCCTGATGGGAAGGCAAAATGGTAAAACCCAAATGGATGGAGGAGGCAGGGAGGTCTCTATATTATTCTTGCAACTATAAGGGTCTATAAGGTTAAAAGTATAAAACAAAAAATGTAAAAACAAAAGAAGAGGGTAAGTCGTAACACAATGTTAAGTACTTATAATTACCTTCCAACAAATCCATAAAAATTCTGGCTGAGCACTCCCAAGGGAATAAAGAGCTAGAGAGTGGGGGGACGGGTGTTTGTTGAGCTGTGTTTTTACTACACAGTGATATCTGCACACCTGAGAAGCTCACCTCCTCCTTCCAGACACTGACCCTGCCCCATACATTTTTGTATCCCCATCACTCAGCACCTGCCTCGCACAGACAGGACCCTCGTTAATGACTAAATACATAAGTGGATGGACTGACAGATGAAACTACAGGAGCAATGAATGGCTGGAAGAAGGATCTTAACATCTAGCACTTATTCTAATACAAGTTGAGCAGAGCACACACACACCATAATCCTAGCAGAGGCTCATAAGTTTGAGTCCAGCCCGAGCAACTTAGTGAGACTCTCTCTCACAACAACAACAAAAAAATTTTTAAAGGGCTGGGATGTAGCTCAGTGCAAAGGCCCTGGAATCAGCCCCCAATACCACAAAAAAGAAAGAAGAGGAAAGGAGAGGACAGGAGGTTAAGTTGGATATTCTTTATCCCTTATCAAAGATTCTTGGGACCAGAAGTGTTTCAGATTTCACATTTTTTAAATTTTGGGCTTTTTGTGCTATCTTGGGGATATCTGAGATATCTTTGGGATAAGACTCAAATCTAAATTTAAAAATTCATTTAGATTTAATATACTCTTTATATAGTGATTGAATATAATTTTATATAATTCTGTTTCATAGTATGGAATTTTCCCTTGTGATATCATGTTGGTGCTCAAAAAGTTTCAGATTTTGGAGCTAGACGCGCTCAATCTGTATAAGCACAACATTTGATGCATGTTTTGTTGACAAATTCATTTAGTAGAAAATAAAGGTAGTGGTAGGAAATCTACCACATTTGGCTTTTTGTGGATTTACAAAAAAGGTGATTGGCTATGCTCCTGTGACTGAAAGTCTTGGATGAACAGTGATCCCTTTAGGATGTACAAAGCAAAAGGAAGCTGGCACAATCAAACCCATGTCAAAACTGTTAGAAACAGATCTTGAATAACCAGAGAAAAGAAAAGGTTCATGGGTTTGTCACTGTTTTGCTTTGGTTTGGTTTTTAGGGACTAAACTCAGAGTCTTCACACTCACCTACATTCCCGGCACTCTCCCCTTTTTTATTTTGAGACAGGGTCTCCCTTAGTTGCTAAACTGCCCTGCTGGCTCAAACTTGTGATCCTCCTCTCTCAGCCTCCTAGAGTAATGGCATTACAGGTACAGATACCCAGTGAAAAGAATAGATTTTAAAAGGAATTAATGCATGTGTGAGGGATGACAGAATCTGTTTGTTTTGTTTTTTGAGACAGGGTCTCACTATGTAGTTGAGACTGACCTGAAACTCACTGTGTAGCCCAGGCTGGTCTCGAACTCACAGCGATCCTCCTGCCTCAGCCTCCCGAGTGCTGGGATTATAGGCATCGCCACAATGCCCGGCTAAGATGACAGATTCTGAAGCCTGAAATATTGGCAATTTCCTACCCCCAGAAGAAAGAAAAAAAAATTTAAAGGAATGAGTGGTAAGATTAATTCATTTGGAGCAATGCAAACCTATCAGAAAGTGTCAGAAAAGCTAAGCACAGGTTGAGCAGGAGCCCTGACTACAATAGTCTAGAGACAGTCAGGACTCTGTGTGGAGTCAGAAGAGCAAAGAAAGGAAGGGCCTTCATCTGGTAAGACTGCACAGTGCTGACTGAGAAATTTATTTCTGTGGCTTCTTCCATTCTCTTGGAGACAGAAAAGAAAAACATCTGCAGGCCTATTCATAAAGAAAACAAGAATAGTAACCCTGTGCTGACCATCTACAGCACACTTTAATGCCAACTATTAGAACCACGTCAATAACAACTGTGTCCTGGGAGAAGAGCCCCTGAGAGCTAACTGTCCACCCCAAAGAGGGGCTTTCGGGAGACAGAGGGAAGATGAGGCCTGTTCATTGGAGTGTTGTTAAGGCCAAGGTTGGGGAGGTGGGCTTATGCCACCATGCACCACCCCTCCAGGTGGGGCGCTGGAGCTCCCATGAGAACAGACACATTCCAGTCTAGAAGCTGCCATATCCACTTCTTTTTTTGCCTGCTACATGAATGTCCTCTGTGCACAACATCCATTTCCTGCCTCAGAGACCAAAAGTAGGAAATGTGACAGAGGCAGGCAAACATTTTGAGGCCCTCTTCTTTCCTCACATACTCCCTACAACTGATAAATGGTGTCCTTTTCCTTTCCAATGCTAGGTGTTAAGAGTGCTCACTGCAATTTGCCCAATTGGTACGGAGAGGCTTCTAATTCTCTAGCTAGATCAAAAGCCACTTGGAATACATGCCCAGCTAGAACAGAAAACTCAACACAAAAAAGTATGGAAGACACAGGAAGGCCATACTTCCCTTATAAATCAGGATGGTAAGGAAGTTGTCCAGTATACCATCAGGCTGGGGTGGACAGTTTGTATTTTTCAAAATGAAAATACAAATGGGTTTTGGTACAGGGGGAGGTGGGTGTAAAACAGCACCTCATTTATGTAGTTCAGGCTAGCCTCAAATTCATGGTGATCCTCTTGCCTCAGGTAGGATTACAGGCATGTGCCACTATGCCTAGCTACAAATTAGTATAAACACAAAGTAGGACAATAAATTAAGAATTGCTTTTACACCAGGATAGTTTATAACTAGTGAGCCACATACTCAAATATGACCTCTCACATTCTATTTAAAGAGAACTTCTTCCACTGTAACTGAGGTAGTCTTTGCAGAAGGGTACACAACAATGAAAGGTAACCATGCATTAAAAGTTGATGAACACAACTGTCCACAATTACTTTAGGAGGTTAAGGTAAATTTGTGTCTAGCTACAAAAGCACACCAGTTAAATTAATGTTTATTGTGACATAACCAGTAGTTGAAGGTTTTAATGGCAAACTTAAAAATCTTACCCACTGGCATCATATAACTTAATACCCATGTGGCTTAAGTTATATTCTTCACAATCTTCCTGACTCCTACCGTTCAGGAGAGAGATTGTAACCTGTTTTATCATGTGACCTTCTCCCTCTGGGGACAGATATACATACATAGACACTCATTCATTTTTGGGCCTGAGTAGATCAGGAGCAATTTCAGAGCCTCGCCAAGCTTGCCAGGCAACCTTCCAACTGGGACAGGAAATAAGTTCCAGAAATTTGGTCGTATCAAAGAAAAACAAAGCCATCCAGATGGTAGGCCTCAGAATAAAGAAACTGTAGACAGAAAGACTGGGCAGGGGGTGCCCTTTTCTCCACGCTGCCCAGCTCTGCGTGAACAGCTCCAGGATGGCTCTTGTTCCCAATGATGTCTCAATGGCTAGGAAGTAATTTGCTAAAAATAAGAGTTAGAAGTGCAGAAGTTTGTGGATGTTTTGCTTTCTTTACATTACAGACAATTAAAGATCTGTGTAATAAGATAATTCCCAGCTGCTGTCCCATAGCTCACTAAGTGGGTGTGAGAAGTGCACCAATTAAAGGTTATCTGTGTAATAAGATAATTCCCAGCTGCTGTCCCATAGCTCACTAAGTGGGTGTGAGAAGTGCAGAAATATAGCTGGGGGCAAGACAGAAGTGGAATGCAGCCCGCTACCAGGTTCTCTAAGGCTACTACTACAGTTGAAGATCCCAGGAGAGCTTAGGAACTAGGGTTTGCAGCTACTTCCTTTTCTATTTACCTCTAGATTCACAGTGGAAGTATGGAGTGTATGCTGCCATTTATTTTGTAAGAATAATGCTATGAACACTTAAGTAACAGTAATTAGTTTCAATGAACCATCACAAGCAGACAAAATGCTGAAGTGAGTGAAATTTACAATGCTCTTTATAAATAATATTTAAGATAGGAAGGTCCAATCTTTTATGTATTGCTAATCTAACAAAATAGTTTATTTTTGTATTTATTATTCTTTTAACAGCAAAAAAGGGCTCTAGCGTAGCAGTGGGGGAAAAAAAGGACTGAGGGCTTAATATGCACTGACAAAGCAATATAGTTTATTTAGAAACCAGTATCATGTCATATTGAGTTCACAGAAGTATAATGTCAAAATCACAAGAAATAACACCATCATATACCGCATTTGGCACTGGTGAGAAAGAATCCACAATTGTACACTCAAATTTAGGCATCAGCTGTAATACAGGGATCGAAACATTAGAATGTTCCCCCAGAGGAGAGGGCCCAGGATAGCAAGAGGGTCTAGAAATTATGCCATAGGAGTTAGTAGCTGGGGAGAGGGATGAGCAGAGAGCTTAGTGTGGAAAGATGGAAAGAGTTATTTTGTGCAAGAGGCCTTATTCCATGTATCTCCGGAGGGAAAAGCTAAGATTAGTGAGTAAAAGTTGCAAAGAGATTTCTACCCATAGCTGTCTAACAAGAATTCCTTCCACTATTACAAGAAGGTTGCTCCACAGGAGGCAATCCACCTGGAGAAGGAAGGCAAGCTAGATGAATTTGAAGCCTCCTTCCAACTCTAAAATTCTGCCATTTTCTTGAATCTCAGATCTATTAGTTGTTTTTAAGAGTTTAAATATCACTGCTTAGTCTAAATAACCTACCATCAATAAAAAAAGAAAAACAAGAGACTTGACCAATGGGTTTTTCAGACTGCAAATATCTGTGGTCTCTATTCAGAAACTCAAATCTTTACTCTGTTAACACACCACACAGTGACTCAACCTTTGTTTGATTATATTTTAGAGGCAAAGTAAGAAATGCTTTGCTTCGAATTATGGACTTTTACTCTCATCGCTTGGCTATAAACTGCATAAAAATTTCCCATGCCATTTCAATTTCATCATTTTTATAAAGGAGAAAAATATCATATGACATTTCATGTGCAGTTCCTGAAACAGAAAGAGTGTGACCACAGGCATAACCTCAAAGAAGCTATGTCTGTGTCTGCCTCCATTTTAATTAGTGAAATCGGATTCCACAGTGTTAAGCTCATTTCAAAGGACCCAACACTTAGAGTCACCCACCAAAATAAAATGTTGCTCATTAGAAAGATCTGGAAAGCAAACAGTAAAACTTACTTAGCAACATTCCAAAGAGCCGAAATTCTTTCAAAGACTTTCAGAAAAACACTCATGGAAATAAATGCAATTAATTTTTAGCTTCTTCCACCCTCAGGGAAGCTGAGATGATAGGTGACTTGCATAGATGGCACTTGAAGTCTAAGAATTCACTCAGAAATCCAAATCAGCCAGGACCTTCAGGAATACAATGCCTACTAAATTTACCGAGTGCTTACTGTCTGCCAGGCATGTCAGATACTGAAGGCTCTTGTTCCAGTGGCACAACCCCTGCCCTCCTAAGGAGTCAATACTATTGTTATCCCAGACAAACTGGGGTGAGTTTAAGCAACGTGAGTACCGATGATAAACAAGGAGCCAGAAGGTACGAAGGAGCTGAAAGTTCTTCATGCTGCCTGACTCCAGAGTCAATTCTCTTAGTGTCCTGCCCAGTGTCTCCAAACCAAACATTCTAAATCAGGAGCTGCCTCAACCTGCTATACCACCTGCAGCTCAGCCAAGGGTGGTAGAAAAGGAAGGCATGAACTAAAACAACTTACTTTATCAAAGTATGGTAGCCAAACTACCATAAAAGAGCAGAGTCTCTACCCATGCAACAAAGTCTAACTCTGAGTCTGTTACATTTTCACTCTGACAGGCAGGCATTTCTGAAAGTAATGAGTTCTGACACAAGCTCTGCTAGAAAAAGTACTCAGTAGAATTGTTGGCTCTTTGCATATAAGCTAGCATCAAAGAATTTCTCTTGCAATATGCTAGGACATTGAAAAATAGAGAAAATGCTTTGCAGAATCAGCAAATACCAACGTGTGGGTAAAATACAGTCATGCAGAGGTAACTCTTAATTTACTCTTTAGCCAGACCTAGTTTAACAAAAAATAAAATAAAATTCCAGTACTGCCTCAATTTATACTTGAGCCATCTAGATAGTCACAAACCCTCATCAGAGGAGATTTGAGAAAAAGGGAAGGACCCTTTAAAGCCTATTTCCAGTCACCAACTATCCACCGCTCTAACCATGGGGTGTGGCAGACACTGGCACACTGGTACAGGAATGACCAGACAACAGCACCCACAGGGGTCTAGGAGACTGAGCCAAGGTCCAGCACAGCCCATCATCTGCCCACTGTCACAACACAACACCCTGCAGTGTCGGCCAGAGGTGAGAATGGTAGTGAGCACACCAGGTGGACTTTTCTCCTTGTTCTCCTACTTCCTCCACTCCTAGTCTTACTTCTAGTCTCATCCTACAAAGCTACCACTGGTCTATGAGAAGAAAGGCAGGGAAGGAGAAAGAAAGGAAATGAGAAGTGAATTTAGTATTTCATAGCACACCCAACAACTTGGTCCCAAAGGGAAGGCACACAGCCTACACTCAATAAAGAGGCACAGAAGCAGAGCTGGCAGTCTGAAGTCACAGGCTCCTTGGCAATACCTAAGAGGCATGACAGGTGCTTACCTGACTGCTGAAGGACTCTTTCTTGGATGAGCTCAGAGCTGGAGGGGGTCCCTGGGCAGGCAACAACCTTGAGGGGCTCTTCTTACTCTGAGGCAGCAGCGAGGACAAGAAGCCTACTCGAGGTGACTGGGAGAGGGAGGCAGTCCTCTGGCTGCACACCATGGCCCTGGTCAGGGGACACAACACAGGATCACAGCACTGAAGGGGATGAGGAGGGTCCTACAACACACAGCTCCTGAGCTACAGAAAGGTTCATAAGGGAGACCTTAGCCAGGTTCTTCAGCCTTGGCTGGAAGGACATGATGCTTTGTACCACTTCCTGTTCAAAGGGGACCAGCAGATTACCTAGTCCAACAGTAAAGTCTGTGGCTCTTGCAGGGCCCCAAGAGCTCAGAGCCATGTTATATAAGAGCCATTGACCACATGGGCTACTGTGGACCTGAACTGTAGTTAGTCCAAATGGAGATGTGCTGGTACTATAAGACACTCTGGAATTCCAAGGCTTGGGATGAAAAAGATGTAAAATATGTTGAAATAGTTTGGACATACCAAGCTAAATAAATATATGATTAAAACTTACTTTGTTTTATTTTTTTTTAAACAAACCTACTAAAAAACATTAAATGACCATCTTTGCCTGGTACTATATTTTATTTTCACTGGATGGCACTGCTGAGAAACTGCAGCCACTTCATATGGTGCAATACTTGGCTATGCCTATGTTTGTACCCTGCCTCACCAGTCACAAACTGTGTCACCTGAATTTGCTACTGGTTCTTCAACTGCTGCTATTAAGACTGTTATCCTTTGGGCTTCTTTGTTAATGGTGTTTTGTTTATTTTCGCTGTCTGGTTTTTTGTTTGTTTGTTTGTTTTGATTTTTTGAGACAGGGTCTCACTATGTAGTTGAGACTGACCTGGAACTCACTATGCAGCCCAGGCTGGTCTCCAACTCACAGCGATCCTCCTGCCTCAGCCTCCTGAGTGCTGGGATTACAGGCATGCGCCACCACGCCCAGCTTGTTTTTGCTGTCTGTTGTTTGTATATTTTGTTTGTTTGTTTGTTTTGTGGTACCAGGGATCAAACTCAGGCAGGCATGGTGTCACTGAGCTAAATCCCCAGCCTTATGTTTGTTTGTTTTTAAAGTTCTGGGGATCTGACCCAGGGCCTATTACATGCAGGACAAGCACTATACCACTGAGCTACAACCCAGCCTTACCTGTCTGCTTAAGGTCATTCAAATACCACTCTCTAAATTCTGCCTAACTCTTTAAACACTCAGTAGCCAGTCCTTCCACAATGAAATGCTCCTTCCAATACATCAAACCTTACCAGCACAGCTGGGTTGTACTGATCCAGTTTAAGCACATTTAGATGTGCAAGGTCCTGGAAGTACAGGTTAAGAGCAACAAAGCATGACCTTGCTGGCCACAGGCACCTCATTTATAAAACTGTGAAGCAAAAGCAGGTGTGCCAGGGGCTCTGTGCAAGTCTCCCGCAAAAGCACAAAGGCCATAAGCAAGACAAGGTCAGAGGGATGCTCAGGACACAAGGGACAGAGAGGAATCAGGACATAAGGGACAGAGAGGAAAGAGCAGTCACCTTCCCAGAGCCCAGCCCTCACATGCACTCACAGTTCAGAGTCCCCCAGGCGGTCCATACTGGAGACATAAGGAGGCAATTTGTGTTGGACCAAGGCCTCTTCCTCTTCGGGCTGTTGCTCTTCCTTCTTCAGCCGGTGAATTTCAGCTTGTAAGGCAAAAAGCTGTGAAGGGCAAAGATGAGTTAGCCAATGATCTCATCCCACCATTCCTCTGCTGATCAAGATTTCTAGACAGTCCACATCCAAACCCAACTTCACTGGCTCCAGGTGCCAAGTCCCTTGGCATCAAGGTGTCCTTTGCATTTCTACTCATTGTACCTCAAAGAAAAACCAAAGAGCAACTGCTGGCCCTGGACTACAATGAGGTATGAAAGCCATAAACTGCTGAGAAACATAAAGCCCATTTTCTCTTTTTATCATTTGATATGCTTCCTTTTTACCATCTGACTTGCTTCTCTCTGAATTCACTGAGCAAAAGAGCTCCACCCAATCCTACTTCGGTCTTAGGAACCTACAAAATCAGGATTTGGAACTCACACAGTCATTTGGAACTACACAGTCAAAAAAATTTAAATGAATTATAGCATCTTTACCTTTTGCCTCAAGAAAACTAAGCATACACACATCACCCCAAATCCAGAAATTTTAAACTTCAAAACCTAAACAGCTTCTAAGCTTCCTTAACAATATCACTAATAGAGATTTTCATTTCAGGATAGGGGAATAAATGCTCCTCAGGCTAAATGTGAAGGCAAACATGGGTTCCCTGTCTCTACTTTTTTGTGAGAAAACTCATTAAATTTGTACAAGCAGTTCCCTTTGAGATGGGTGTCAAGTGTAGAATGGAACTGTGAGTAGATTTGTGATGTCCAAGTTCTCTGATGTGTAGAGAAAAATGAACTAGGAAAAAGGGAAACTAAAAATATCATCTCTCCCTATATTCACATTTACTTAAAATAGAAATCATAGACTTTTCCACTTTGAAAATCCTTTAGCTCCAGCCTTCCTTTACACAAATTGTGGAAGCTTGGAGAGGCTAGATAATAGTCCCACACAGCTTTTCTGTAGAGCTGGGCTGGAACTCAGCTCTGACTTTGTTCACTATTTTTCTCTTCTTCTTTCCTAATTTGTGATGACATTAATGTCATTTTAAAGAGTTACTTTTCTGATTACAGTACACAATAAGAGCTTGCCTCCTTTGTTTTCCTTTTGTGCTGGAATATGAGGCAAGCCACATGTACACCATTCCTCTGTGGTTCTCTTGCCCTATCACCTGATGGAGGTTATTCTCTTGGTGGTCCTGTGCCTTGCCTTTTGTCCTTACCCTTTGAGGGACTTGTTCTCCCTCTCGTTTTGAAATATGTGAAACTTCCCAAGCATTCTAGGATCAGGAGGAAAACTACTTCTAGTTTGACTTTCTCTACTGGGCTTGAATTTGCCCCAGGAGTCTGGAAGCCTAGAGAACTAACAAAAAGCAAACCTGGCTCTACTGTTTTATTGAAGAGAAATACATAGTTGAGTAGGAACAACTAAATTATACTTGGGTAGTGAACATTATGTATGTGGTCATATATGGAAAAAGACCAGGAAGAAAAAAATGACATATGAAAACAGAAGAACTGCAAGCTGGTGTGAATACATACAGTCATCATCTTAACAAGTTCATTTCCATTATTATATTGCTTAGGTTGCATACATGATTTAAAATATGAATCTCACCACTGGTTATCAGAGGCTGATACAGCCCTAAACCCTTAATGCTGAGTGATGACTCGTTCTCATCTAAAAACAGTTCAGCTCTTTATGCAATCAGCCCTTGAGAGTCTCGACCTAATTTCACACCCACAAAGCAGAATTCCTCCCAAAGAGCAAGCCTGTGCAGCACAAACCTTCTGACGCAGAATTTCATTTTCTTCTTGAATCTGGTTGGTCCTCTGGCACTCCGCATCAAAGTTCAAGATCACAGGAACTGGTGCACAAAGTTAAAGAATAAGCCTGCTTGGGAACATCTGAAAGCTCTTGATATAGTAGCCAAATGCTTGAATACAAGAAACAGGAAACAGAGTGCACAATCAGTGCTGTGGGCTTTTCCCAGCTCTATAAACTAGTCTCAGGGACTTATTTTCTTTGGACACAAGAGACATACAAAAATCTGCTTGGAGAGGACATAAATCAAAACCTGGCATTTCCCCCCAAACTCTAGCAGTAAGAGCTAGTATTCAGTGTCTAAATTTTAGCAAGGTCAAGGCTGACACTCAGCAGAAAGCAACTCTGGAAACAGGATAAGTGCTAGATTTTCCCAACACTGAACCTCTCCACGGCCAAGGTTTAGAATGAGAAGAGAAAGCACTATGCAGACTGCAAGGCCAAATACCACCTCAAAAACACCTACATTCTACCTGAAGGTGCTGCCCTTTTGTCTTTCCCAATCACTCACACATCTTCAATCAGGAGGCGGGTAGAGTAGACAGAGTCCCAGACTCCAAATGTGCATATGTTAGTATGATTGGCACTATCTTGACCTCAAAAATCTTAAGTGACCATTCCAATTGTCTTGGAGAGTCCACATGGCCATGTGGTAGCCACTCTACTAATTTCTTTGACAGCCTATAGGAAGAAGAGGCAGCTGGCAAGAAGACAGAAAGAAGAGAAAGACCTGACAAGATTAGAATTCTCTCTCATCCACAACACATAAGGAAAGAGCAGTCAGGAACCTCCCAGAAAATGGTTCACTCAGAGGTCAAAACAGCAGCCAGTGGGTGGGGATCTCAACACCCAAATTTATCAGTGCTTCAACAGGCAGCCCCATTCAAAACAGACTGCGTTCTCCTCCCCTAGCTCTCCAGCCTTGACAGCACTAGCAGTGAAGCATGCAAGCACCTCAGGATCTCAGGCCTTCCATGACAAAATGGTACACTTGCTAGGATGTGAGTCATTTACACAAATTCTCATTCATTCTCCCCCCTCCACGAGTGCATGCACACACATGCCCCCCACCCCCACACCCCCCACACGAAACTGCTGTTTTATGGCAAACTGAGGAACAATAAGGTCACTATCAGAGAGAATACAACAAGCACTAACTCAGGCAGGAAGCTCCAATCCAAGAAGTGTTCTCATCTGCTACCAAATTCCAGCAAAAGCAAGTACTATCTCCAGGGACTCTTGACATGCACAGAAAGAGTGCTCTCAAGTCTCAAGTCTGGAGCTGCCTCCTCACCCTACTGCTGCCGTAGTCCTCTCCATGTGTGCCAGCTATTTCTTCAAGCAACACAGCACTAGAATTAAGATTTATGATGCCTTGGCCTCCTGACAAAACACAATTTGTCCAGCCCCCTCACATGATACAAGTCAAGGATCCTTTGGCACTTTGTGGAAGAAATAGCTGTACTGAAATCAGTAACTGTTAGCAGTTACTAATCATGTTGTCTAAAGGTCCCAGACTGGGCCCAGACAATATGCCTGGAAAGGATATGCATGCATTGAAACAGGACACTCAGGAAGTTGTGCAGGGACACGATGAAGGTGTCAGCCCACTGTCGAGAAAAGTAGGTAGCAAAGGTGGGGTTGGTGTCTGGGGATGGCAAGAAGGGCAGGACAAACCAATCCTTCCACTCGGCCTGGTTCTGGAGCTCCGTGGCCTGCTTTGCAAAGAACTCCTGAGCCTTGTCATTTCTGTTTGTCTGCCAAGACACAAAGGAGGCAGCAAGAAGGAAGAAGAAAGAGAAGTCCAGAGGTGAGATTCTCCATCACAGCCCAGAAGAGAGCCTCTGATATCACCTGCCTGGTAAGTGACAAAGTGGAATCTATAAATATGAGATGAAGGAAATCATCAACTTTTCCAAGGACCTTGTGATTTCAAGATTCAGTGGTTTAAATTTAAGTGGTTTACAATTTTAGGGCCAGGGATTTAGTTCAGTGGTTCCACCGCCTGCCTCTCAAGCACAAGGACCCAAGTTCAATCCCTGGTACCAAAAAGAAAAAAGAAAAAAAAAAAACGGCAAATATTTAGGGCTGGGGATTTAGCTCAGTGGTTCTGCCACCTGCCTCAAAAGAGTAAGGTCCCAAGTTTGATCCCTGGTACCAAAAAAAAAAAAGATAAATGCCATCCTGAAAACTGATCCCTAGTTGATGTTCAGATAACCTAAGTGACTTATTCACCCAAGTCACTTATTGTCTTTATTATTCATTCTTTATATTCCTTATAACAACACCGAGGCTTATGTGCTTAAAACAAAAGAGAAAGCCAGGGATTTAGCTCAGTGGAACCATGTCTGCCTCAAAAGCACAAGGTCCTGAGTTCAATCCCCCTGGTACTATTAAAAAAAAGAAAAGGGGGGGGAATGGGAATGGGAAAAATAAGTCAGATGATCTGCAAATGATGAAAAGGAAACAAAATGTAAGAAAACAGTCAAAAATAATTTGCACTGTGGCTGTTGCACTCATTCCCATATAAGATACAAAATCATCCCGAGGGACTAGAAGAAACATCTATTCCTGGATCAAAGAGCTCTCCCCACCAGGGAAACAAAACCCCTGCATCAACAAACACCTGGATAGTGTAGACAAGATAAAAGCGGAACAGGCTGGTTTTCAGCTTGTTGATGGTGGGTCTATATATATCCTCCAAGCGGCTGAAGAGTCTACGCTCCAGGTAGCTCCAATAATCCCGAAGGGCAGCTAAGTCATACACCTGCATTAACTGCTGTAGCTGGTCCACAATCTTGTCCACCTGGCAAGAGAAAGCAGTGCTGGAGAAGGAGGTGAAGGACAGAAGGGCATTCTGCCCTCACTCCATACAATACAGCTTTGTCCTACTATGGCATCTGGATGCTAAAAAATTATGTTTGCAACTGACAAATTTTTCAGACATACTAATGTAAGTTTTTAAATTATTTTCAGTTAAATATACATGGTAACCCTCTGGCAAATACTGAATTTCAGGTGTAGAAAAGACAGGAAACAAGAAATCTGGATCTAGATCTTGGGACGAATTTACCACCTTGGCAAAATCACTTCAACTGTGGTCACAGTGGCCTTTCAATTTAAAAGGGGGAAGTGGCAAGAGAACATGACAATCTTCTCAGTCACCCCTCCTCCCATCTCCACAACTGTAGGATTCCAAGGATCACCAGGAGGTACACCGACTGACCCTTGCAAAACGCCAAAGTCCCACCTTTGCTCAGTGTCAGCCAAAGTAGTCACCTCCTTGTGAGGAGCAATTTCACCACAGGATAAAATCTAGAAAAAGTCCTGGATATCAACGTCAATTCAACTCCATTTTAAAAGTAGATTACGTCGGGGATTTAGCTCAGCGGTTCGGTGGCCTGCCTGGAAAGCGCAAGGACCTGAGTTCAATCCCCGGTACCAAAAAAAATAAAAGTAGATTAGGAAGCCTGGAGGCTGGAGAGGCGAAATGATTTGCTTTTGCTATTAGGTAACCATAACTACAGCAAGGCAAAAGCCCAGGCTCCTACCTCCCTCCAGTACTCTTGCAGCTAAGTAGTCTCTCTCGATTCATCTGCCACCACCAATTTAATTCAGCACACACACACACACACACACACGCGCGCGCGCGCGCGCGAGCACTCACAAATGACACACTCAGAAATTCCAGGAACCTCAAAACGGAAAATCGTATCAGAGCAGGGGAAGTTTGTGTTTTAAAATGTGCAATGAAGTCCTTAACTGCAGAAGCAAAAATATATGCGAGTCCCTGACAAAAGACCATTCTAACAAAACATCACAGACATTTTAACCCTGCCAGCGTTTGGGGCTGCAGACCTCTTTGCTACCACTGCCGTCAGAAGCTAACCCTTGACATCTCGCGTGCCAGAACTCAACCATCTACCCATCCTCGGCTTCTAAACCTCCTGGCCAACCACGCCCAGCACCTGCGGGAGGTGGGATGGAGAAGGGAGCCTGGACCAGGTCAGGGCGAAGGGCCCCGGCGCCTCTCTGGTAACTCTAGGCAGTCACGTCCGTTGCCGTGCCTCTGTTCCTCTCCTTCAAGCGCAGGTCAAACGCGCGACATTCCGACCCCTACTGCGCGGTTTCCGCGCCTCTGTGGCCCTGAGGCAGAGCCGAGGGGGAAGGAGAGGGGAGGGGCCCGCC